GGGTCACATTATTCTTGAATTGCACTGAAAGAAATTATTGTTAAGTGTGTTCGTTTACCATAAATACAAGTAATGCTCACTATATTTCTGAAAGCTCACATCTCTGCGGGACGTGGCTGGCTCCATCTGTGATTTATTAATGACTAGAGGAAGCATAAAGATAGACTGGGCTTTGTGACCACTTTGCGGAAATGTTTTCTGAAAGAGCCTACAAATATCAGGAATAAAAAGTGAAGACAAATATATATACTGTATATATATATATCACTTACGAAAAAGAGAAGGTTAAAGAGGAATAGAAAGTACTTGGTGACCGTGATGCATCCTTTCCCCATGTTTGTGTTCCTGCAGGATAATATTCCAGTAAGATATGGGTCCTGAGGAAAGAAAAAAAGAAAGAAACACTCAAGATGAAAAGACACAATAAAATAAAAACAGACAATAAGCCTTGCCTCACTGTGGGAGAGTTGTAGATCAAGGTCATAAGAAAATCTGCACAGTTAGAATTCTAATTAAACACAGCTATAATCTTCAAAGCTGAACCAAGCTCATTCAGAAGAGCTTCGCCTCCGATTCACACTTTTAGGAGGAAACAATTGCCTCATTGTCTCATGTTTTATGGCAATGTTTGATAGCAAAAAAAAAAAAAAAAAAAAAAGGAGCCATGCTGGTTTAAAATGATGAAAGACTACTACAAAGGCATGAGTGGCGTTCTCATAATGACTACATTCAGACCATGACAATTTGTCTGATGCCACAGAAGCACACAACTTAAACAAATGTGATAAATCAGACCCTGACTGCATCTGCCTGACACTTGAAATTTGAGCACATAAACGAGACATCAGTCAGTCCTGACTTTCATGTTGTGTTTCCTGTTAATACGACGACTTACGGTAATTTTTTTTATGCCACTGGTTTCCTGTAGTCAGCTGCACACATGAGAAACTCTTCTTATGAACAAGATTCGAGCTGAACCTCACAAGTCCAAAAAATATAAATACATTATCCACAACAAGACCTCATCCTGGGAGCACCAAAAATACAACCACCCATTGTGGCTACTTGAGGGGTCTAAAAATACAAAAATGAAGACAACTCCCCGTGTATCAAATGACAAGCTGCTTTCTCCTTGTTTTCAGTTCCGTGTCTGTATCTATAACAGTGTATATTTAACTCTAACAACTAAAAATAGTTAAGAAATTTGTTTGTTGTGCTTCAGAGCAAACAAAAAAATCCACTTTCTATTGGTGTGATATACATACTATTTATTTTAAATGAACTCTGAGCTGTTTAAATGCTCTGATTTAGCAAATGCAGCGTTATTGCCAGTGTTTCTGAGTCACATCTGACTGCAAGACTTCTTTCTTCAATTAATTAGTGCTGCCTTTGTAAATTCCAAAAATAAATAAATAAATAAACAAGTAAATAACACCACAGCTGTGTATTGTAAATATATCTATTCTCAGAAGAAGAAATGAGGAAAAGCTTTGTTTAAATCTGAAACTTATTACTTAAAAGAAAGAGGAACTAAAATGTTAACACATTCCTCTTCCAAGGCCAGAGCTGTGAAATGTAACTTTCCCACCTTTATTGTGACATATATACAGTATTGTACAATTCAACTAAATAACTAACAGTTCGTTAAGAGATCAATTATAAATATAAAAATGTGCAAAACACTAGTTGCATCTATTGATTTAGTGCATTTCAAAACTTAGAATTTACTCTTTTGAAGTCATTATTGTGTTATTGGTTCATCATCATTCCTATTTATCTTTGGTTTATCAGCAGACATCTCAAGGTTTTAGGCCAAATCAAACAGGTATAGTGTTCATAATCCTATCAACTTTGACAAAAGACTTAGTTCCAGCTGAAGAAAACCAGCCCCACAGCATGATACTGCCACCACCATGTTTCACTGTGGGGATGGTAGTCTTCCAGTCTTGTCCCTGCACCAAATAGACCATTTTGAATTGTGGCTGAAAAGTTTAACTTTGGCCTTTTCAGACTACAACACAATTTCTCACATTGTTTTGGGAAACTGGATTATTATTTCTTTCCTTTAATATTTAAAAAAGCCTAGATTTTTTTTAATACCTCAACACTCTACACCAGGGGCTCTCCAACCTTTTGGGTTTGGGGACCCCTTACAATGAAAAAAATAAATAAAATTCAAGGGACCTCCTCATAAACCCCATGCTGTTTTAAAAGATAGATTTATTGTCATTTCAACCCCTAAATGTCATGGGAATATGTATTTTTATTTAGTTTATTTTATTAGTTCATTGTTCTTCATGCATTTTTTAAAATAAAATCCATATTAACAATTTAGTGAATTTTTTGAGGACCCCCAAGATACCTCTCATGGACCCCTGGGGGTCTTGGGACCCTGGTTTGAGAACCTCTGCTGTACACGACTGTCCAGACATATTGGTTATACTGGTGAATGTTTGCATCTGTAGTACTTGACAAGCAATGGTCAGAAATCCCTGCAGCTCCATTGGTGTTGCTGTTGGCCTCCTGGCAGATTCCTCAAACAGTTTCCATTTGCTCTTTTTAACAGTTTTAAAGTCCAGTTCTTCCATGTTACTCTTCTCCTATATTTTCTTTCTTTATTTTTTTTTTACTGCCCATGAATTTTTGTACCTTTTTTCCTGACAGATACATTTAAACAGTGAGATCCAGTCGATGCTTTGAGAGCTTTCTGTAAATGTCAGGCAAATCCTCGCAGGACAGCAGCTGAACTTAATGTTTGTCAGAGGGACTTTAATTGATGACAGGGATGTACCCAAGATGCCTGAAGGCTTTAAATTCAATCAGCAGTTAGGCAACCAGCATATTGCAGGGTTAAATATCTTAGTTTTCTCCCTAAAGAAAATGATATATCAGGTAGGTCTGCCACAAACGATTATTGTAATAATCGATTAATCACCGATTATTTATTCGATTAGTCGACTAATCGGATCATAAACGTTAATTGAATATAAAACATACAGCTTATCATGTCAGAATGCAGCTGCTATTATATAACCATCGTTAGATTTTAGCTATATGCCAACTAAAAATAATTGCTGTGGAAGGTAAGTTCTGCTCTGCAGATATTACACAGGTTTCTCTTTCATTTTCTTAAAATGATCCCACACTTTGAGCTCCGTTGCTTGGTAGCCATGATACCAGAGCCTGTCTGTATAATGTCTTGTGACGTCCACGGCCTACCCCAGTTACCACTACTGTGCATGTGTGTCAAGGACAGAAAGGCAGATGTGGCAGTGGAAGATGTCAAAGCAATTTGGAGAGAAAAACAAAGTAAACAAACAAAAAAAAGAAATCGATTAATCGATTATAAAATTAGTCATCGATTATTTTAATAATCGATTAGTCGTCGATTAATCGATTAACCGTGGCAGCCCTAATTTCAGGTGAGTTTTACAGAATATTTGTCACAGTAAAGAGGGAAAAGTTTTTGAAATGATTTTTATTGGTCTCATTTTATGGTGTCATGAAAACTTGGCATTTTAACTGGTGTGTATCCAAAGAAGTTACAATTCGGTTCAACTCCACTTTTATTATACTGTAGATGATGTTTTATATTACACAATATAATGCAACTTTCTTTAGAAAGGACTTTAAAGCCAAAGTGTTTTACACTGATGTGATTATGTCTATGTTTCTACACAAATCAAGGCAACAGGATCACAAAATAAGTTATTTTTTTAAACAAAACCTTCTTTTTATTTATTTTTTTAGATTTTATATTCTATGTATGAGTGTGATCCAGTCTTGTTCAATAAGAAAAATTAGCAGCACTTATATTCCTGACCCACTGCTTTTGATGGGATTTAAACTTGATGTAAAACACAACATGTCAGGCTGTCTCTTAGTCAGCTGACAAATATTAACTACTACTATCCATCAATTAAATATAGAAATTGACCCGAATACCATCATAACTTCCTGTTTACAAAACAGAACATGGCACAAAGCCCAAACCACTCCGCAGATACGGCTGCAAAGCAGATAATCCTCAAAGAAGATTGCTGTCGAGAAGCAGAGTAGCATTGTGGATTAAAAAAGACTTAACTATGATAACCATTGTACCACTGTCTCTCCACTTAGTTTCCAGCAACCTTAAAACTGCTTTTAGTGCCTTTTGTTATTCTTTTTATTGACATTATTAAAAGAAAACTGGAGCATTTCTCAAATGGGCCATATTTGCTGACTTTTTTGAACAATAATAGATCAAAATGTTTTCAAGCTGTCCAACATTAAGCAAGATGTAACCTGCAATTGCGACAGAGTTACAGTGTGTTTTTTTTAATCAGACTTAAGACAGATACTTAGCAAGACCTTAGCGAGTTTGTTCTTATTGACATAATTGCATGATGAGAGTAGGTTCTGTGCACGAGCTCCTGGCAGAACTTCTCACAGGGTTATGTGCTGTGTTGTGTGATTGGTCAGAACTTTGTGGGCGTGTTTATGCCAAAAAGCAGGTGAACTACGCTGCTCTGCTCTGCTTGAGAGAAGCTGTCTGAAGCTGTCAGAAAATGCAGCCATCTTTTACAACTCTTCCAGCAAAACCCGTAAAGATGGTCAAACAACTCATGGAAGGAGATAGCATCATTTCTTGTGAATAAACGCGACAGCGTGGAGACACAGGTGGCTCTGAGTGGCACCTCAGCCCTGGCAGCGTAAACGCCACATATTCCTCCTCCTCGAACACTTTCTCTTCTTTCTCCTCCAACTTGTCACAAACTGAAAAAAAACATCCATCTTTGCCAACCATGCTGTCACTGAGTTTTGCGCTCGATGTGATGCAGTGGGAGGGCTTATAGACGTCTTGCTCTGCAGTTTGTTTTTGCGAAAAAGAACGCCCCATAACAGCGTGAGTGGTTTTATAGTTGCTGGTTACACTGGGTTTAGACAAGGTTGGACCCATTTTGGTTTTATAAACCACTTGATCCAGAGAGAGCAGAAGATTTGCTCTGGGTTTCAAAAAATATTCTGGAGTTGTATTTTTTTTTACATCAGCCATCAGGTCCAGTCATAAGCTTCACAGACAAAGCCAACCATAATGGACTTCCTGAAAGCTAAAACCAAATCTGCTCCAAGGTAAAAAGCAAAGACTAATCGAAATTTGAAGCAACGGTATTTATAACTTCTAAATACCAACGCTGAAATGTAAAGGCATTTAAAGAAGACAATGCTGATGTGAAGTAGGAAGTTGTCAAGAGGAGGAGGAGACCTTGGCTGTGTGCAGAACAAAAATCAGAGAAAAAAAATCCACTGAATGAACTTTCCAAACTCTGTGACCTCGCAGGCACACTTTTCTTCTGCTTACAGACCAAATTTTCCTACTCCTGTGGTATGGAGAGAGAAAAAATGATTCCCCCAACCAAAATGTGATTTATAATTGCAATAAAAAATGACAGTTCAATGGAAATAAATGTTGGACAGATGACCAGTGAGTTCAGAAGCTTGATGTGCAGAAACGAAGATAGTATGAGTGGCAGATGGCATGGCTATGGAATCAGACTGGATTGCTTTTTTTTTTTTTAACAGTACAGAGCAATTAAACACAAAAAATGCTTCGACCTCCATCTATTATTAAAATATGACTCATTTACAAAAAAAAAAAATCCTCTTTGCATCACTCTGATACTCCTAAAGCCTTTAATACACTGTTGAGTGCTGCTTTAACATCTGCATCAGTGTGGTTGGTCCCACTGTAAGAACAGCTTGCATTTAGGTGAATTTTGAGCTTCCACATTTCTAAGAACACGGTTTCAGTTGAGTCACCAGGTATAAGGGGGAACTTCTTCACTTGACATCTACGGATCTGTATAAAAGGTAAACTGGACGACAAATACGAGTAAAGCCCCCGCCGATGTCGAAGTGAAACTTTCTGTGGAAATGATGAAACCTCTGCGCTGATAACTATAACCTAAACTGGTTTATATATTGTTTCCACAACTGCGCTTGTTACCCACAATACTGCTTAGAAGGATAGCAAGAGCAATGTGGGAATTGAACGTTACATCTGAAGTGCAGCTTGGACGCTAAAGCCTCCCAGAGGAGTTACCCGGAGAGGCTGAGGCGTAATGGAGTCAGTGCATGTGCTGACAGAGGCCGATAATCAATGTATAACACTTATACTGTTATTCTTTGCTCTTCAAGCATCTGGTAAAACACTTGTAATAAAACCAGACAAAACTACTCAGCCAAACTCGTACATCTGCTTCCGTTTACGCACATTAATCAGTTCTGCGCGTATCGATACGAAGGCCCCAAAGCTGGTAAGTGTTCTACAGTACTTCTTACAGTGCACTCTTCTGCAGACGTTTCATATTAAAAGATTTGGCAACCAAATACAAGCAACCTAAAAATAACAAATAATTGCCTCAGTTTATCAGCGAAGCAATATAATTCATTACCAGTGGCATCTCATGTGGGGAGCTCGGAATTAAAACACTGCTTTCAATCTAATGTTTACGAGGCGCCTCCCTGCTCTGAAATGTTTGTGTTGCAGCAGGTCGGGGAGAAAATGTTCTCGAAATATATTGAAGTGCTGATGCAATAAAAAAAAAAAAACACTATTATGTGGGAAGCAGCTGAGACAAAGTTGTCGTGAGTGTAGCCTGCAAGCTGTGTTTGGAAATGCTTTGACGTGGCTGGACGAGCAATGTTAGAAGCAATAATTAGTTAATGGATGGAACAGCTTCAAAACAGTTTGAGCAACAGTTGGGGGCATGAAGAACCAGTGGATCGTCATGATTTCTTCAGTGCCGCTGAAGGTAATATCAAGCTGCCATTTGTCCCAGTTGATGGGAAAAAAAAACAGAATACAAAAGATTATAATCCTTCTTGATCAATGGTCATTTATTAAAATGGCAACACGTAGAGCAACAGTGTGTTACTAAGAGGAGGTACAAATGAATTTGTGGTCATTTTACATATTTGCCCATTGCTTTGTCATATTTGTGTTGGATAGAAAATGACACTGCTTCCAGTCCACATCAAGGCGGCACTAGTGTTACATCAAAAACCACCAAGATTGTGTAGACTCAAGCCGTCATTGTGGTGAGACTGGACAAAGGAAAAATAGCTTTAGGGGAATTTGGGCTATAAAGCAGTCATTACAAAAATAAATATAAACTCTGGTTTAATTCAGCTTTATAACACTGCCCAAAACTTGAACAAACATTTTATGACCTGCTGCCACAATAGGTGGGTGGTTATTCAATTTAAATTCAGTTGAATTCAATTCAAAAATACATCATGAAGCCCAAAGGGAAATGAAATGTTGTTCCTCTCATATGTATGTATTATACCCATATACTTATGTATAGAATTCTCTATTTGTGTATGTTTATTTGTCTGTTAGCAAAATATCATGAACTGCTGGACAGATCTTATCAAACCTCACAAAGTAATCAGCAGCTACATCTACAGCTTATTATCTTTTGAAGTCAAGCTGATTCAAGATGAAAATTTCATTTAATCAATACGAAAAATAACTTGATCTGCCAATTAAAAACATATTTTGCTGAACTTGTAAGTGGCAGTGGTTGAGACTGATCCCCAATATATGAGCGTTATGATGAGATCACATGAGATCTTTGACTAAAACTGGCACACAGCAGGCTGTTACTTTTAGATAAAATTGCAAAAACATGTTTCTATGAACAAACTGATAGAGCATAATCTCTACGTAATTAACAATTCTAAATCAACAGTTTGGAAAGGACCGAAGAAGAAATAACCGAATTACTGCTATTTTGTTTGGAGATCATGACCAAATATTATATGATAAACCGGCTTGCCATACACACCGCACCATTTCCTACCATTTATCAACATTTAGGCTTTAAGAGTGAAACAAAGTGAAGCAGTGTGGTTGAACAGGTTCTTTCAAAGCGGGTTTAGTTAATATGTTTGAAGTTGCTCAGAAAATAAGTAGCTAGCTAACTAGGCTTAGTTTAGAGCCTCGGGTCTTTTACAAAATACACCGTGAGCGCACGTGAGATAGCGTTAATTTTAGTTCCGTAAAGTGAAAGGGTTTGGGTTTGGACTGACGTTTATAACTCAGAAGTGTAAACAAAAGTAAAACACATGAAAAAAAAAGTTAAAATCTCCACAGCACATTTCTATTTCATCCCTCTAAAGTCTGCTCACTGGATGCTAGCTTTACGTGAACTCGGACACAAAGCTCTCCATCTTTCTAAAGCGGTATTTACGTCATTATTAGCCCGAAAAACACTTTATTTCAACACAGCTAGGTCCGAAAGAGGAGACAGATTTCGACTAACTAAAGAGTGTATCTTTAAAACACAGACGAGGTGTTAAACCTTCAATTACAAATACGTAATAAATACTTACTGAGTTAGTCTTAAAGTGCTCACAGACAGTTTTGGGGTGACGGACTGCTGCTGGCTCTCTGCTGTGAAACTTCCAGACTCCCGAGAGAAAGAAACTTGAGCATTTGACCGTGCCTCCTTTTACGTGGGGTGTGTGTATGTGTGTGTGTCTGTGTGTGTGTGTGGACATGTGTTCACACAACCCCACCATGCGGCAGCACACACTCTTCTCCTGTTTTGCAAATATCTTTAAAGTTATACAAAAATTTTATTTAAACAAAACAATGTGCAAGATTTCACGAGTCTTTCTTGTTCACTAATGGAAACACAATTTATAAACACTTTGTGGTGAGATATTTCTCAGGTGTTGGTAGAGGTAGGTTAGAAATAAAATGATTATTTTTATACATTCCTTATAAAGTGAGTAAATTTCAGCAGCATGTGTGATGTAATTCCTAAATGGTCTGTGGTAAGCCTTAAAGCTCTGTTTACCAACAAACCCAGGGAAAAACAGGGATTTAAAATATTTGGAGGAAAGATGAGGAGAATGTTTGCACTATGAGAACTTCTTGCACTTCAACACCACAAACTACCCATTTCCTGCAGGACACATAATGCTGAGGGCTGGGCAATATGGAGCATTTAAATTCACACTGTGAGAAGTCTGTCTAGACTTTAAAGATGAGCATGCTGTGACATGAACCTCAACAGAAATAAACAAAACAAAACGGGAAACAAGTAAAAACTAGGATTACGTAACAGCTCTCGGGTTATTCGTTGACATGTTTGAACAAATTTGTTTTTGTTTTGAGAAGTAAAAAAATGTGTTGAATTTAGGAACTTTACATAACTCTCCACTGTCAAAACAGTCAAGTAAAAACTAAATAAAACAAAATAATAAATGTTTTTAAACAAAATCATGATTATTGTGGGAACGATGAATTGGCATATATCAAAAACATTTAATTTGAAATCTGATTCAGCCTACTTGCTCTAATTTTGTCTACTTGTTCCACTTTTAGCTTTGAGCTAGCCTCTTGATGCCTTTTGCTACTTTTAGCTATAATTTTGTTGCTTTTGTTTAGCTACTTTTAGATTCTAATTACACTCGTGTTGTTTGTCAGCTCTTAGCTAAACTTTCAAAAGTTTCATCTCTTTCAGCAAGCCTTCACTACGTTTCTGCAGAAAAAGCTTTTTCTCTTGTTGTCTATTCATTTAAAAGCAAAACTATCACCAACAACTTGTGAGCTAAACAGACACCATATTTTACCTCAGATTTATGGTGTGCTTCTTTTATTAAACAGGCAGGACAAAAAGAAAAAAAAAAGTCAGTGAATCAATTTTTAAGTCTTCAAATAATAAACAGTTTTTATTTCAAAACAATATGGAAATGGAAATTCATCACAATTTATTTGTCCTTGTACAATTTACCACATATATACAGAAAAAACACATTGCTACAACTTGAAACAGGTTGACAAGGTATGCCAATCAACGGTATCTGCTAAACGAGGGGATGAAGAACCTAACAAAACAGTTTTAGACCTACTTTCAAATTTCAAAAAGACTAGGTACTACTGTAATAGTCTCTAGGATTTACAAGTCAGGATGATGAAAGAGCCTCTTTGCTTCCTTTCCACTGAGATTCTCTGCAAAATTGCCTCTCACTCCAAAAACCCTGCCCTGCAGACCTTTAAACATTTCACGAGCTGATCATTTGAGGCCCTGCAGCTTTGACAGAAATGGAGCGGCTCTTTTTTTATCTTCTAACTCCGTAATTATTATGCAAGTCAGCAGAGAGCAACAACGTAGGCTGAGACACACAATGTTACTGTGGAGGCTCTCGTCTAATTAAACACTGTAAAAAAAAAGATAATTACTACTTTTTAGGGATACATGAGACCTCACCCATGTTTCAAACTCTGTGTCTGAGCTGAAAACGTGCCCGTTTTTCCTTCAGCCGAAGTCACTCTGACCACAGGACCTCTCCCATCTGGGGCAGGATTCTGTGTGGTCATTTCCAACACGATGGACAACCTTTGAAGACATGCAGCATGTTCCTTATTCCTAACCAAACATAATGCTTCCAGTTATTTGCACAAAAGGGTTTGTCGATGTTTACTGTCTGACAGGTACAACGATCACAGCTTGACTGCTCTAAAACTAAAACTTTATAATGGTTTTACAAACTCCTTTTTGGTTGCTGCATTCATTTGTGGTCACAATTTCTGATATTTCTGCTCTCCAGTTGGTCACAAAATGCTTCCAAGGTTGAGCCAAATTTTTTTGGTGGAAAAAAAAATCTACCACGACTGATGTCAAAACACAGTGTCATTTAAATAGGTACAAAAGAAGACACATTACAGAGAAGGATCAACCTTTAATAATCATGAACTAATACTGAACAAGTTCCCTGTTTGGTTCACAAGAACACCACGTAATATTAAACATTTTTATTTACATATATACAATGAGTAGGATGAGGTGGTGATGACTGTGTTTTAAGTTGTTTTAAGGCAAGACTAAGAATGTGGTGCATGGCTAAAATAGAAAAACAAAATAACTTTCTGTGCTACATCACTTGAGGACAACAGCTAAGGTGCGTTGATCCTGCACGGCAACATGCTTGACAAAATTTGCAGTAAAACTCAGACTGACTCGGTGCGCAGACAACCAAACACTGCCTTGTAAATGTCACCTCACAGGTGCACCATCAGTATTTTCTTTAAGGTGTGTAGTCAAAATGCTCAACTACAAATTAATTTCTTGGGGGTGCAGTATAAAAGTTACGATTTGGAAAATACGTTTCTTCCTTGTGCTTACTAAGAAAGCTATTGAAGGAAAATCTTTTCTGTCAGCCGTCCAGCATTTATTTGATCTCATCCACATATGGACAGCTAATAGTTTTTCCATCAGTATAAAGCTGCCAGAGACCTCCAGATTTCACTTCAGCAGATATGCAGTGTGGGCTCACAACCATGGTGTCAAATTAAGTACAAATCATAGCACAAAGTCTTGAGCATGACTGAGGAAATAGGATACATTATTACCAGACAAAAGCACTAAAAACTAAGTCTGGAAACCATGTTGTGTATGAATAATACAGGCAGGCATTGTTGGTCTTGCAACACACATATAAACGCACTATGTACTGCTAAGTTCTGCTCTGTGGGACGACCACTCAAAACTACACAAAGAAGGAATGTGTGTCAGGTGAGGCGCAATCTCCTGGCCCATTTGGAGTCGTTATGAGGTTTCCTGTTCTGGTTGTACAGTCAGCAATGCAACACTGTGCTCATCTGTTAAATACTGGGGGGTTATGTTAGGCTAGATCCCATAGAAGGGGGGCAGGGGGCATTTACTATGAAAGCAATGCACCAAGCCCCAGTCTAATTAAAATCCAAACCTTCTTGACCCCCATGTTTGTGATCTGTGCTCAAACGTCCTCTCCCTGAAGTTTCAGCTGCTCGGCCTCAGATCTTTTTTGGCTTACGGCCCAGGTGGTAGTAGTAGGCCATGGCGACAACACAGAAAAGCACCCGACTGAGGAGCAGGAGCATGGCAGCGTTGGGCAGGATGCCGATCTCCACTAAGGTGATGGACGTCACTGAAACGACAGAGCAATGTTTAAATACCATCCATTACTTTGATCCAATTTTTCCCGCTGAACATGTGGCAGCTGGTTTCTATCTCCAGCAGTGACTGCACAAAAGCCAGGGTACACCCTGGACAGGTTCAAGACCATCACAGGGCCACAAAGAAACAACCATTCACACTCACCCACATTTAGGAACAAGAGTTACCAACTAGCCTAACATGGATGTTTTTGATCTGTGGGAGAAAACCTATGTGTGCACAAGGGTACCATATAAACTCCACCCACAAAAGTCGAGCAGTGATCCTACAACCTTCTCACTGTGAGGCAACATCTCTAACCACTGCTCCACACTGCTTCCCTTTTTAAACACTAAACATATTTTTATTTTTATTTAAAGACAAGCTACAGCTTTCAAACTAAAAGTGTATTATGAAAATCTACTATACATTTATTACAGAATATGTTCTGGTGTTCATAAAATGTTTTTAACCAACCTTTAGCAGAGAAATGGTACCATGAAGAAAGAATATTTCTTTAAAAAAGTAACTAAACACATAAAAAATTTGTTTGGCAAATAAACTATCTGAATTGGGCCTTAGGGGTATTAACTTTATATTTCAGTGCAAATTTGGACATTTTCATGCAAATTTGTTTTATTCTGCAATACTTTGTCTTAAACCCTCTTGGTACATGCTTATGTCACAGCTACCACTGGGTGTAAAAGCCTCTCACTAAGAGACACGCCTCTGCAGCAAGTAATAAGTTGGAATAGCGAGCACTGCAATGAACGTTTGTTACTACTTTGAACATTAGCCCATGTTAGCAATGATGCTGCTAACATCACTTTAACACTCAAAAATTAGACCCATTCTGTTCTCTATTGCCTCGGCAGCATCAGCTTCATGCACTGCTGAGTCAGCACTTTGAGAAGAACACGTCAGTCCCGTACTGAGCTGTTTGTGAATTTAAAATGAACCACTGAAATAAACAGAAATGAGAAAAACATTCTTCCTGTGCAGTTTGGATCAAAGTCATATTTTAACAGTTTGTTGCCAGAGCCTTACTAGTTAGTTTGAAACTGCTAAATGTGAGTTTGCATGTGTGTCATGAAACTTTACTTTTTACAAAATACATTCATTGTCTTTAGAACATTCAGGAATGTTTTCAGACATGTTTTCAGAAAGGTTAGCTTGTCAAATTAAGCTAGCTGTCATGTTCTGCTTGTCCTGACCACACCTCCACGCTTGGCCATGCCCCTCAGTGTCTCTTGGCATCGCACACTTTGTTGGAATTTTTCAAATTTGCCTGGGAACAGGGTTATGCTTTCACAGTTGCATTGTAATTTGTGTACGATCCAACCATCAAATAGTTTGTACATAAAATAGCTGATAATACTGGGAAAACATCTAACTGGGATCTTGCTGTTGACTTTTACAATAACAGAATCAGTTGTGATGAACTCTGCCTGGTCTGTCACCACAACACTCTCATGTGTTTTATCATTTCAGCCATCATCTAAAACAGCTGTGGGCCTTCAGGGTAAGTGGAGTTTATTTTGCCTTGGTTAAAACGTCCCTTTCTGGGTTTTGTTTAGATAGTTTTATGCTCATTAATTTAGCCCGATAATATACATTTATATTCAGTTTTGCATCAGAAAACTGAGCAGTCTCCTTTACAAGGCTGTGTCTGTTTCAATTGTTGTGGCTCCAGTGTGTTTCTAAGTGCACAGTTAATGGAAAAACTTCAGGACCAGAGGTAATTTATAGTTCCCACTGATTTTCTTACTTTGAACTTCTCATTAATCTGTCTGAAGTGGAAAGGGAAAGAGAACCTAATGGGGCTGATCGAATACTTGCAGATTAACTGTCAGTCAATAAAAGATTTCAGGTTTCTGTCTCAAGTTTTTTTCCTGAAACTTTAAGGGAAAACACTATTGGCCATCTATTTTTAAGATAGTTTAATGCCCTGTGATTAAATGTTCTCACTGCAAAAGGGAAAAAAATGAAGTTAAGAGACATGCAAAAGAAATGACTGCTAATGATGAGTATTTTTAAATCTAATAGATTTTGTTCAACCAATAAACAACATTTATTCTGACTTTTAAAGGTGATGCATTGTAAAAACTTCAGCTTATATTTTGTTAGGAGTAATCTGAATCTGAAGAACACAATACTTTTATACAGGTTTTACAATAAATACTCAGTTTGGCTTGCTTTAAGCAAATTTGCCATTCCCTCTTTAAAATAATGCAAAACTGTGACTCCACCATCTAAACACAAGAGGGCACTATGTGCACACGTGTAACTGGTACATATGTTATTTCAACTCCTTTATCAAAGTAAAATTATAATCAAAGGGATTCTGAAACAATTACTCTCACAGTGACAGAAGGCGCATCAAGTCATGAATTAAACAGCAAAGGCTCCTTCATCACCTAGAAACTGGACAGCAAAGAAGCAGGCTTCACTGAGGAGAGTCCACTGGATGATGACCTTTTCTGCTGTGTAGAGACCATTCCACATAATGAGTGCCAGGCCTGGAAAGGAGATCATAAAAGGAAATGTATAGGTTATAAGTTCAGGGGTAAATGAATATAAACAGATAAAAGATGAAGCCCAGGGAGGAAGACTCATATCTAGAAAAGCATTTCCGTTCACAAAAACAGAAAAATAAAAAATAAAAGCTGCACTGTAAATCTGTAACCACATATAAAGCAAGGTGACTGCTCATTAACTCAACTTAATGTTTGACATTTAATAAGAGCTTGTGCTTTACAGTTTTATTCTTTGCCTTCATGGGCTTCTCTCCCAGCGACACAGACCAGTGATGCTTTGAGAACATGAAGGGGTGGGCAGCGAGGTGGGAGGGCTGATGGACTGCATCCTCTCCCTGCCAGGATCCATCTGTGCGGCAGATGAGACTCCGTCCTCTCGCGCCCCCCACTACTGCACCTCGTCTTGTAAGACATCGCCCTCGATCTTTGATAATCCCTGAAGCTCTGCTGACATTTATAATAATGAAGCCTGGTTTTTGTTGGCCTTATGAAGCTCAAAGCCGCTTCATTCATATCGTCACTTACAGAGCTGCGTTTGTTTCATCTTTCTGCACCCGAAGCTGTAATCCTGCATTTTTATGCTCTTCTTTTACATTACTAATTAAGCAAGACATGCATACATTAGAGACCAGCATGTGACAGTTTTACTTCTCTCCACTGATTTTTCTGAGAAAGTTATTGCCTAGTTTAGAAGAAGTGACAACTGAACAGAATTTATTGCGTATATGCTATGCTTCTGATCGCTTACATCTTTTCCCAGCTTTCTCTGACACCTCGGTACTAAATTCTCCTTTATCATAGTGAGTCATGTAATCCCCTCAGTGACAGTTTTTCTCAAATTAAGGTCATTAAAATGATTGCCTCTATCTCAAAAATACACACTCTGTAAAAGGGGAGCAAAGCACAAATGCTATAATTCTCTGGCACATTTATAATCATTTTCTGTCACCTGTGGATGACACGGAACAAAAAGATCAAGCTGGATTTGTAGAGCTTGGAGTGAGCCAGCTGAAAAATTGAAATGGAGCATAGAAAATTTCCCTCCTCTCAGGGTTTCGGGCCATCTCACACATGCACACACAATCCACACACTGTCCTGCCATCCCCCACTGAGTTTCCACCAGATTTAAACCTGACACACGAGGCCACAGAAACAAGAAGCGACCGGAGCTTTGGCTGTTAGTATTCCAAAGAACTGCCCTCTGTGCCTCTAGCATGCCTTCACAGTGGACTGCAGACACTCATAACCGTATCTGATTAAACCTCCTCTGTTTGTAGCCTACAGGAGTGGTTTTGAAGCAGAAAGAGGGCTCTTTATGCTGCATCTTAAAGTGAGCATGTGTGACCTATAATGAATGCATACGAAGCCATTATTGCAGGAGACCACATGCAGTGGAACAGTGTTTATTTTTAGCACATGTAAAAATAAATGTAGAAAACACTGTGTGCCAACAGGGTTGCAGCAAAGTGAAAGCATTCAGTGTGCCGTAAGGGATGCATGATGGGAGACCTTTTCAGATGTCTTATCTGGGTGTCTTTTCACAACTGAAGACTGAGACTTACTGAGTAACGCTGCTCCATAAAGGCGTACAGAGATGCTTGTCGTGGAGAGCTCCTCCTCAAAAACGAGCTCATAGAGCTGGTTGGGAAACACCAGAGCCTGTTTGAAAGCACAAAAGCACAACACAGCTCTGTCATTTCAACACAACAGCATTCTGTCTTTCCTAAAATCTTCCCGTTTTTGAGTTGGCACCACTCTGGATGTTCACAACACTGAAGATATTGAGAATTTGATATTAGAGCTGACAAAGATGGAGCTGTTTCAGTAGAGAACGGTCAGTAATAAATTATAAAAGAATCCACAAAAAGTGCGTATCTGATTTGGCAAAATGTGCTTTTCATTTTTCTGAAAAGAGCAGTTTCCTGCCCACATTTTTGCATTCTTTAATGAGAGAGGGAGTTAAAAATGAATGAATTTAAAACTGTTTTAAAATTTAAAGACTCACCATCACAGCCATTACTGTGAATCCCACAGCAGAGATGAGTATCCACATCCTAAGAGGAGAGACATAACATGACACACTATAGTCTTCCTACAACACATACTGATGGCACACTTGTTTTATCGGAGTTTACTGGATTTTGAAGTGATTCACAGGTGACCCTCATGCTGTTGTCTGCGTTAACTACCAGAGAGCAGCTGAAATCTCACCTCAGCCCGACAGGCTCTCGCACTGCAAACTTCATCTCATTTCCCAGCATCTGACTGATCTGTGAGCAAACAAGGTAAGAGAAAGGAAAAAGGAAACAAGTTACGAGAGGGTAAATGTTATCACAGAGCTGTCATCTCAACAGATATTTATCATGCAATAACGCTCAACAAAGCACCTTTTAAGCAGGAGTAAAAAAGCACTACAGAGGTGTACTTAATGTGGCAAAGCTACAAAAAAGAAGCTCATTAAGTCGAGCTTGGAGCAAGAAAAAAAGGCTGATTAATATGGTAATTAGAAACCGTACAAGTCCTCACCTCTTTAATTGCCTCCTGTGTTTCTCATCACAATATCTCACAGTGAATTTTCAATCAATAACTAAGTCCCCATGCTTTTACCAGAATGACTGCATTACTTTTGACTAATTAAATTATTCTGCGCAAGAAAATGACCACCCAATACTCAGACTGTTCATCCAGCCTGTGAGAAACTGAATAACTGCATTAGGGATACACACTGTCTTAGTAACTGATTGCAGAGGCAGATAACAATGAATATTTCATGCACCGTCATACAGAAAGAATCTTATCAAACAGCAACACTCTGAAAGAACATCTATATTAGCTATACAGTTTGTTAGGAAAGAAATTATTTTTCACATTGTCAGCAAAATGAGGGAATGCAAACTTTAAATCTAACAACTTTATATTCAAATTCTGTTCTTACAGATAAAATTAATATAAAAAACTAAGAGATGTAAAGAAAGTTTCAGTTTAGAGTAGTGCCAAGATACTTGGCAAATATGTGACCCATCATGTCTCATCCCAACATCCTAGAAACTACAATTTATTAGCACAGGCTTTCAAGGTTAAATATCTTCAACACTTGTTTATTTCATTTAAAAGCAATCTTTGCTGAAAACATACCCATACATACATATCCACACACAAAGAGAAAATAAGAAACAAAATCAGATCCTCAAACATCACAAAACAAAACCGTTCCTATCATGTTTCTAAGATCAGTGAAATCCCTTCATCATAAAATACCTCCTCCGTCAGAAAGCATTGTTGTGTTGGAGCCCGACAGCATTATAGAACTAAAAATACACCGAAACATAAACAACACTAACAGAAAGATGATGAATCATTTTCTGGCTTGCTGTGTTTACTGGGAGCTCACCACCATTTGGAAAGTAATTTTGTGTTTTGACAATCTCGTGTAATGTCAGGGTGAAAAAAAAGAAAGTTGCTCTCACCGTATCCTAAAAGTGTACAAGCAGTTTTAAGGGATTGTGTGTGATTTTATACAGTGTAGTATTTTACAAGTTACAAGATCTTTTAGAAGTCATTATGTCTTCAGAATTAGTATGTCAGAAACAGCTGAAAGTAGAATAGCGTTTTTATTTTCTTCCATGGCAATTCTGAGTAAATGAATTAGGCGTTTCTAATTATTCTTTTTTTTTTTTTAATTCCTAAACGTTTCCCCCCAGCTGCTCCTAGCTTTGATCTCATGCTACAAAGCTTTGAGACGACTCCCTTGGAGTCAAAGCTCTGAAATTATTGAGATCAACAGTTGCAGGAAAAACCCATTACATCGTTCCTCGCTCTGCAGCTGAAGTGTCTGTTTATGAAACCCTCGGCACCAGCTGTGATCACGTGACCAGGTGAATCAGCCTTCCATGGTGCCATGGTTCCAGGAGCTGTTTTTGACAGGAACACATAAATATTCATGACCGGCATGACAAATACTCAAAGGGATCTGGGAGTTAACTCATGGCACAGATTTGGCTTAGGGCGTGAAAGAAAAACAGGAAAAGACACAAACGTGCTTAATTACAGCTGGCGTTGATGTGAATCAGTCAGTTCCATCCACTCGACAATGTCCTCCTTTTTTAGCTACAGCACATGACAAACTACTCAGGATATTCAGCATATTTGTTAGTTTGGGAAGTTACACTAGGCAGATGGTGGTCACCTTGTGTGTCTTATGAAATCCCTCAGGGCTCAAAAACATATACAAAACATCATGGTGTGTTGAGTTGTAAGGGCCTGAGCTCACACTGTTTCTTGCGACATCACTATAGCACTAAACTAAGATGTTAGAGGGTCTAATGAGTTGTTAGTAACAACACTCCTAACAGGCAACAACTCTTGATTTATGTGCACTCACGTAAGGCAGCACAAAATGCACGTGTGTTTCTCGCTTTGCCATAGAATCTGTAATAGGAACAGTATTCTTATCAGTAAAGGGGACAGGAAAAGACTGTCAGCAGACTACACTTCCTTTCTTTGTTTATGGGAACCACAAGGATAAATTCATCTGTTTTCATTTCCACACAATCTTAGCAACACAACTTTACTTTTAGATCAGATCCCATGGACTTCTTCCCCTTAAAAACATACTAGAGCATGGTTAAAGTGCAATTATAATTGTGGATCAATGTCACTCACAAATATTGAAGCCAAGTTATCAATCCACCTCTACAGATAACATTAGCTAAAGCAATGCTTTACTGTACTTTCAAATAATTGTTGCTGGTTCATCCGTCTGTCATTATTAGTATCAAATCTAAAGAATATATCTCTGATCAAATTATTGTTATAGTCAGATTCTAAAAGATACAAAACCCTTATAGATCATTTGTCAGTATGCAGTTGTTACATGCAAACACTTCTTAAAAGAGATTTACGTGACAGATGTCTGGGTTAGGCTCCGTGCTAAAACATTGAGTGAAAACAAACACTCAGGAGGGCTGAGAAAAGGGGGCTGACATCTCATCACACGCTATCAGCCACCACCGTATGCCTGCTCCCTTCTGTTCTGTTCCCATCTCGCACTAGCCTGATTAATATTTCAGTGCGGAACTGTCTGCTGTGCCTATGCACAATATTATGCAATCATATCTATATCTATATATATATCTATATCTATCTATATATATATCTATATCTATATCTATAAA